GCTCTACACTTGAGAAGAAGGAGGAAATGACCTGAATGAGGTGACAGAGGTGAAGCAAAGGTAGGAGGTACTAGGGAGCAGATGTCCCTCAGTGTGGCCTACATGGGGGTGGTCTGTACTGAGGGGAAAAGCCCGTCATTTATGACCGCCTGTATCTTTGGGTGATCAAGTAGACTCTGTCTCTTGCCCACATGAGTGAAAAAAGAGTCTCTTTCACCAGCCAAATCAGGTCAACATCTTAGGATAACTCTTACTGCCAGAAAATAAAATGGTTGTATTGTAGTTTCAATCCTTGCCTGGGCTCTACCTCCAGAGATTCTGAGTTCATTGGTCTGGGGTGAAACTGTGTATTAGGACTTTTAAAAGTTCCCTAGGTGATTCTAATAAGTAGCTAAGGTTGAGAATTGCTGCTCTAAAAATTCACTAACCCAGCAGTAAGCATCGGCCTAGGTCTTTTCATTTTGAGATCTGCAAATGATGAAAATATCTGTAGAATCTTCTTTAATTATCTTAAGCAAATATTTCAAAAACATGATTTCATTAAGAAAAATCCTACAAGGGGAAAGGATTCATTTAGGGAGTATAAGATGTCCCTAAATTATGGAAAAGAATAAGAAGCCCTTACCTTATTATAGTGGATACAATGAGGATGTTGCCAACCAGCCCCATTGAACAGATAATTCCAATCATGGAAGGGAGGATGACTGTATCCACAACGCTCAGGGCTTGATAAGCAAACTCTTTATTCCAGGACTTGTTCAAAAGTTCAGCAGAGGTGTTCCAACAGGATGAGTGAAGTGAATTCATTGTTCATGAACTCCAGTGGTTAAAGCTATGAAGGAATAGGAAGTGATTTATTTATTAAATTTTTGAGGCAGTTCCCTCAATATAGATTTTCTTTAACTTGATTAAAAAAATATTCATTGGGGTCTTCTTTGCACCAAGAATCCGCACAACATAAAATTCCAGGATGAGTATAATTGCTCCCTGTCCATAATGATCTCACAGATTGTCAGAGGAAATATGTAAATAGCAAATTACAGAAGAGTGTACTATGAAAGTGTGCATATGTTATCACACCTTATTGTGGTCCGTGCTTTGAGCATAGCTGATATTGACTCAGTACACACTGGTTCAGGTTGTTTACAGCTGGCGCTTGTTCTTATTGACCTGTGTGTCTAGTCATATTGACAAGTATCCCTGCAATACTTATGTTGTTAATATATCTCCTCCGTCTGTTATAAAGTGCATGAGGGACACTAACTCTGATTATTTAAGAATGGAATGGGATAAGACTTCCTGAGATGATTCCTGGGCTTTATCTTGAAGGATTAGGAAGAGTTAGCTCAGTAAAGGACAGTGTAGGAAGGGAAAAGTGTTGTAGCCAGTGGGAGTACCATGTACAAAGAAGAATTATGGCACAGGAAACAATGCCCACCAATCAACCTACAAATAAACAGGTAAACAACAAAATCAAATAGAACTGGAAAATTATTTGCGTGATCAATCTTCTTGATAAAAGACATTTTAGAAATGCCATCTAAGTCATGTTTCTTAATGGTAAGTTGGATAACTCAGACTAACCATCCCAGGGAAAACAAAAAACTATGCTGGACAAAATGTATATATGTATATGTATGAATATGTGTGTGTGTGTGTGTGTGTGTGTGTGTACAGCAATTTAAAAATATTCAAGGTCTGTAAAGTTAGTGAGCCTTCCTTGGCCAGTTTTTGGATGAGATCCTGTAACTGGGAGGTAAGCAGATTATTGAAGCACCAAGGCTATCTCTATCTAGAAGGCAGTTATTGATGCCACAATCATTAGAGCTCTGTTTCCATGTCTGTATTGTGTTCAGAGGGAAGTCAAGGCCCACAACCCACTACGGGTGGGGAATTTTGCAAGAGAACCCTTTGTCTGGGCTGGAGCTCCAGGGGCTACACCCTCAGTTAAGGATGAACCAGACTTAGATTTTCCTCTCCTACCTCCACAACAGTTGGAAACAGCTGAAAGAGCTGCCTTGGTACTTTTGGAATGGACAAGAAAATGAAAAGAAAAAGAAAAGCAGACTTCTCCAGGAGGTCGTGGCTCCCAGAGACCCTTCCTTGGGAGGGTCCAGAAGAATCCTCTCAGATTTGCACCCTGAGCAGGCAAAGCCTAGTTTGGCCAGCGACTCTAAAGGCTTGAACTTAGTCTGAGGTGGTCCAGGACTAGGAAGCCCCATATGTACCAGGCAGATGCAAATGCAAGTCCTTTGTGAAGGGAAAAATAGCTGTCCTAAGGCCTCAGAGAACCCATAAAATATATTTTGAGGGTAATGGCCAGCAGGCAGTCAAAGATACAAGCATTGCTTATATACTGCTGGAAATAGATTAAAGACTTAAATGTAAGATCCTAAACTGTAAAACTTAGGGAAAGACATGTTTCTTGAAAGAAAACATAGGGAAAAAGCTCCTTGACACTGGTCTTGGCAATGATTTTTTGGATATGACTCCAAAAGCACAAGGAACAAAAACAAAAATAAACAAGTGGGAATACAGCAAACTGACAAGCTTCTGCACAGCAAAATAAGCAATTAGCAAAACAAAAAGGCAACCTATGGAATGGGAGAAAATATTTTCAAACCATCCATCTGATAAGCAATTTATATCCAAAATACATGAGGAATCAATAGCAAAATACAAATAGTCTGATTAAAAAATGGGCAAAGGACTTGAATAGATATTTTTCCAAAGAAGAAATACAAATGGCCAATAGGTACAGGAAAAGATGCTCAACATCACTAATCATCAGGGAAATGCAAATGAAAACCACAATGAGATATCTTCTCACATCTGTTAGAATAGCCATTATCAAAAAAACAGAAAATAACAAGTGTTGGTGAGGATGTGGAGAAAAGAGGACCCTTTTGCACTGTTGGTGGGAACATCAATTAGTACAGCTACTATGGAAAACAGTATGGAGGTTCTTCAAAACATTGAACTACCACATGATCCAGCAATACCACTCCTGGGTATATATCTGAAGGAAATGAGATCAGTATCTTGAAGAGATCTCTGTACTCCCATGTTCATCGTAGCCATTACTTACAACTGCCAAGACACAGAAACAACCTAAGTGTTCATTGGTGGATGAATGGATAAAGAAAATGTGATACACACACATATACACACAATGGAATATTATTCAGCCATAAAAAATAAGGAAATTCCGCTTTTTGCAACAACATGGATGGACCTTGAGGGCATCATGGTAAGTGAAATAAGTCAGACAGAGAAAGACAAATATTGTATGTTCTTCCTCATATGTGGAATCTAAAAAAGCCAAACTCATAGAAATAGAGAGTAGAATGGTGGTTGCCAGAGGCTGGGGTGGGGGCGGAGAAATGGGGAGATATTGGTCAAAGGGTATAAATGTCCAGCTATAAGATGAATAAGTTTTGGGGATCTCATCTACAGCATAGTGACTATAGTTAATAGTATTGGATTGTATACTTGAAAGTTGTTAAGGAAGTAGATCTTAAATGTTGTCACCATAAAAAAAGAAAGGTAATTATGTGAACAGATGAAGGTGTTAACTAACCTTATTATTAACTAACCCGAAGGTATTAACTAACACGTATATGTGTGTCAAATCATCACATTGTACACCTTAAACTTACATATATGTCAATAATATCTCAATAAAGCTGTAAAAGAAAGAAAATGTAGTATATACGTACAAGAGAGTATCATTTAGCCATAAAAAGAAGGAAATCCTGTTATATGCTACAGTGTGGATGAACCTCCAGGACATTATGCTAAAAGAAATAAGCTAGTCACAGAAGGATAAATACTGCATGATTACACTTATATGAGGTATCCTATGTAGTCATACTCATTGAGAATAGAATGGTGGTTGTTAAGGGTAAGGGGAAATGGGGATTGCTGTTCAATGGATATAAAGTTTTAGTCATGGAAGATGAAAAAGTTCTAGAGATTTGCTGTACAACATTGTGCCTACTCAACATTCAACATTTTCCGTTCACTTAAAAATTTGTTAAGAGGATTGATCTCATGTTATGTGTTTTTTTTTTACTAGAATAAAAAAAATGTATGTGAGGACAAAAAGAATGTTTAAGAAATGGGATACAGTGAATGTTTCATGTTCTAGACGGAATATTCCAGTCAGTAGCCTATCGAAAAAAATATGTTCACAAAAAATAAAAAGTAACATGGAAATTGAAAAGAAAGAGATATCATTAAGATAGAGAAAAGGCAAGCCACACAGGATATTTCTAAGACATATAACCAACTACAGGCTCTTGTTGAAAATATGTAAAACATGTCTACAAACCAATAAGACAAATATAGACAACTCAACAGAAAAATGGCCAGAGACTTCAATAGGCATTTATAAAACAGGTATCCAGTGGTCAATAAACGTTTCATAAGGCATTCAACATCACTAGTGATGAGAAAAAAGGCAAATTAAAGCCACAATGGGATACCTATACATACCCATCAGACTAGTAAAAAATTTCAAGTCTGCGAGTTCCAAGTGTTGGTGAGGATATGGAGCCACAGAAATCCCACCACTGGTGGGAGTATAAAATGATATACCACTGTGAAAACAGGGAGGCGTTATCTATTGAAGTTGAATAAATACATGTTATCCTATGACCTAGAAACTTCCTGTCTAGGTAGGATATACCTTAGAGATACATATGTTTAATGTACCAGGATAAGTGCTCCAGAATATTCACAGAAATATTTGTTTTAAATATTTTAAATGGAAATTAGTCAAAATGCCCATTACGATGGGATGGATAAATTGTGATATATTCACACAATTAAATACTGCACAGCACCAGAAAGGAACAGACTGTAGTACACAAAATAACATGGATGACTCTAGTAACTTACGGTTGGGCCAAAAGCAAAAATTTATACAGCATGATTCAATTTGCATAAAATTTAAAAATACAGGCAAAATTAATCTATATTATTAGGGATACATGTAATAATGGTAAAAATATAAAGAAAAGCAAAGTGATAACGGGAAAAAGACTGATGGTTCCCTCTAAAGAGAGGGTTTTCTGTATGGCTCTGCAGGTTATATTAACAGTAAAAATAGTTTTTAAAAAGCAGTCTAACATCTGACCATATGGTTTCAAGGCAACAATCTAAATCTCTATTTTTTCTTCTTTATTAATACTTATCTTCCTCTTAATTTTCCTACTCTGCTTCTGTTATCGTCTACTTACCTGTCCAGTTATTTCAAACTTTAATAATCAGCTACTATAAATGTTAACTTTGTGTTTCTGTTATGCTGAAATCTGATGCCAAAAGGCATGCAAAAATTTAGTAAAAGACCCATTTTCAGGCAAAACAGGTATATAGGATTGACTGGCTGAACTCACTGAAGGATTTCACATGGCGAAACATATTCACAGTCCATCACCTCATGTTGTTTTAAAAACAGGAGTCCCTATTTGAAAAAGTCAACATAATTTATTTATTTCAATTTTTATTCTGTTATTTAGATTATGAAAAACGAATGCTTAAGAGAGATTTTGGGGAATACACAAAAATATAATGTTTAAGATAAGAGGTGAAAATTAACTTTTATGACAACTGTTTTTTAAGCATTTCCACAAGTTTAAAAAATAAAATACGGATTACATATTCAAATTAATAGGTTTGGGGAACGTGCATTTTTGGAAATGATGGTTTAAGTTTAAGACATAGGCAAACATTTTCCACTGAATTATGTATATCATAATCCATTATCTCCCAAATCATTTATGTATTTCAATATCTCTTCTGCAAATATAATCTACAGGAATATGACTCCCCAAGT